TACTTTTCGGCATCTGTCACGTGCTGGACCCACGTTGTGCGATTGTCTCCTTGGGCGGTCACCAGCACGCAAGAGTGCCATGGTGTGAGACCAAAACAGTCAGGTTGAGGTATCAGAGGTATAGAAAACTTTGAAGTTCCGGTCGATGGGTGAATCGAGATTCTGATGCTATCTGGAAATCGGAACTCCAGTGCTCTTTCATAGGCCTGTTGTGTACATGTGTCAGTAAGGGGTCGTCGGGCAATGGAAGTGCGGTTTCTCACAATTAGTCGCCGTGTCATTTGCTCTCCAACTCGCCGTGCCTCGGCCTGGTACATGTCTTCATTCGATTTGACAGCTTCAGGAATATTAGGTCCCCATCGGAGGTCGTCGTAGGCGCCCTTGACAAAACCCCGATATGTCAATGCGGTGTCGGGATGATCTTTGATTTCCCTCTCGATATTGAAATTCGGATCCAGGAATCCCTTTTCAAGCTCTCTCCGGCAGGTTGGAGCGATACTCAAAAAGACCTCTTTGGAGATGGCGTTGCCGTCGTTGAGACCAAGAACGTCGATCAACCGCATGAAAGAGATAGATGTCAGACCATTTTCACACGCCATATCTCGCAGTTCTTGTCCATAGCTGAATACATCTTCGTCTGGATAGCCAAGAAGATCTGAATGTGTTAGCCCAGAATCAGAACATGCCCTAGCAGAGCGATCTCTAGACGTCCCCGTGATGAATCGCAGTCCTTACCATTGTATACAGAACCGTCAGAAATTATGGTTATATGTGCTCCGTAGGGAAAGACTGCAGCCAGCTCTTTGCAAAGTTGGTTCAGTCTAATCAAACCAAGTTCCTCTCCCAAATCAGGACTCTTAGATAAAGTCTTCTGCGGGTTTGGCGATTTCCATGGGAAAGCGGGTAGAAGGAGTGAGACTGGTTTCTTTGCGGCCCTAAAGTTCTCGATTTTCTCAGCTGCTACAGCTTCATAAGGAACAGCCCCATCGACACCTTTCGGATCTTGGTGATTAGAAAAGCGCCTGAGGATCTCAAGAATGGAATCAACGTCGGTTTGAGTAGGAAGTGGCATTGTGGCTGGGAACTAAGAGACTTTGAGAAAGTAGAAAACACTCCAGAAAATGGAGGAGGGACTTATTCTCCCGATATCTGCCTCTCCACTCTACCTGAAGAGTATGAGGTATCAGCCTATTGATGATTGGTTTATAGAGTACAAATAAATGAGATATTGTGGAGGTGCGGCGTTTTTGTATGCGTTTTTGTAGTATTGCTACTCTCAACGAAGTTTCCGGAAAAGTCGCCTCGTTATTAAAAAGGTCCGTCACGCAGTTCCTCGACGTGTGATAGCTACACTGCCGCGCGGCCCTGTAGAAAGGACTCCAGAAAGAAACAAGGTGCGACTGACCCCTGAGCCATTTATGTAATGATATGTTATACCCATGTCTTACAATAAACTGTAGTATAATCGGGTCTTAACCAGGGATTAGGCAACACTGTGCTTCATACATGGGCAGACATAAAATGTACTCAAGACTGCGAGCAGCTTCCAAGTTAAGGTTTCGA